CGGCGGGCCGGGGCCGGGGCCGGCGCGGGCTCACCTCGGGGTAGCAGTCCTTCGCCAGCACCTGCAGCATCGCCGTCTTCCCGCACTGCACGTCCCCCACCAGCACCAGCTTGCACCTGACCACCACCGGCTGCGGCGCGCGCCTCTCCCTCATGGCTGCAGCTGCGCGGGGCGGCTCGGGCTCGGGCTCGGGCTGGGGCGAAGGACCGGGGCCCGCCAGGCGCTCCGCACCGCCGCAGCCCGACGCCTGCCCGCCTGGACTGAGGAGGAGGCCGCGCAGCCCCTTATATCTCCCGGCTGAGCCAATCGCAAGAGGAGGCGGACACCGTCCAGGCCAATCCCTGAGAGTGGGATCCCCTCCGGCAGCCAATGAGAAGAGGATCTGAGTCAGCGCCTTCTTCCTCGCCTCCCTTTCTCTTAAAGCCGCATGGCTGCTGCCTTCTGAAAGGGGTTTCCCGTGCTGTTTCGTGTTTTGTATTTGGAAGGGTGGAAGGACCTGAAGCAAAATCCGGTGAAGCAAGTGTCCAACAGGTAGCGTCCCGAACCATAAACTAGCCACGGAAGCAGGAAGTGAGGCCACGCTGAAGTTGCGGGCGCTGTCCAAGGAGAACAGGCCCTGCCTAAACTGTGGGGAGGTATCACCTGGGGGGCAGGTTGGCCCCAGACCCCTCTGACAGCTTTATTCTAATTCCTGTTCCAAGCAGTTCCCTCTTCTGTCGTCCCAACATCAGTCCTGCAGTCTTCCTCACCTCCTTGTTGTTGCTGTTGAGACAAGGTCTCCCTAGGTAGTCCAGACTGCCCTTGAACTCACTGTGGAGCTCAGGCTGGCCTCAAACTCGTGGTGATCCTCCTGCCTCAGCCTCCCCCAGACTGGGATTATAGGCATGTGCTGCCGCGCCTGGCTCCTCTGTCCCCGCTTTGGAAGCCCAAGTCCCTTCCTCAGGAATCACACTGACCCAAACAAATGAATAAACAAAGCACAGCTGCTGACCCAGAGCGAGGCAGGGAGAAAGGAAGGAGGGAGAAAGCAGAAGGATGGGGGACAGGAAGACAGCAAAACAAAGCCACTGTCCATTGGCCAACTTCCCTCGGCAGGCCTAGCAAGATCCTTCAAGGTGTTTGTTCTCCTCCCTGGGCTCAGCTTCCTGGATGAATCAAGTGCGGGTCTAGTTCCAGGTTGACGTCAGCTGACCCTGATGCATTAATGTGTGTCACCTGGTTAAAGTCCAGCCAAGAAGACTGGCTGGGACAACGGGATTAGAAGTTGGAGGGCTATTGGCTGGGCATGGTTGCGCACACCTGTAATTCCAGCACTCTGGAGGCTGAGGCAGGAGGATAGCCGTGAGTAGGCTACATAGTAAAACCCTGTCCCTAAAAAAACAGAAATGGGGGGGAACAAAGGGAGTGGAGGAGGGAGAGGAGGAGAGGGGGTGAGGAGGAAGCACCTACTCCTGAGGGCTGAGGTTGGGATGAGCCAACAGCTGCCTGTCGGCTCTGGCCCTCAGTGCCCTTCCATCTTCCGGGCCTTCCTTCCAGACAGAGCTGAGACGAAGACCGCAGTTGAGAGGGTCCAAGTGCGGCCTCCAGGGGATGCGGAAGTGGAGGACCAGTGCTGGGCAAACGTAAAGCCGTCCAGGGCGGCTTTTAACCTGCATGAGCCCGGCACCGCAGGGCATCCAGAGACCTGTGCGTCTTCACTCTTATTCACGGGCACTGCTGCCACAACCAGGGACATCTGCCCAGAGGCGAACTGAAAGGCTTCTCCAGGCCCACAGGGACAGGTCTCTGGGAAGAACAGCTCCAGAGCCGTTACAGGCGGCGCGGGAGTGCAGCCATGCCAGCGTCCCTGCGGCCTCCAGGTCCAAGCTGCTTGGTGGCCGGCCCTGGGGCTCAGGCCGCACCGCACTCGCCACCTCCGTAAGCCTCCAAGCCCCAGGGTCAGCAGCTGGGCAGAGGCCACCAGGAGCTGCTCACCTCCTCTCCCAGCTGTCTGGAAGTTCCTTCCCTTCTTCCCCCAGGCCTCACCCTCAGCCCGCAGGCAATACTCCATCTGTGGAATTTGTCCTCTTCTTGCCCCTTTTCAGTGTCCAGACAGCCTCTCTGAGCTGCCCAGAAACCCGGCCTGGGAAAGTTCCAGAACAGCTGGAAGGTCAAAGGCTCCTCAGCCTGGACCTTCGGTACCGCCCGTCCTCCGTGTCTCCTCTGAACTCGGTCTTGGAGGCATCCTAGGGTCCTGGCGTCCTCTCACCCCACGAGGTTCCCTCCTACACAAGCACACAGGTGTCGTCCTTCACAGCACGTTCTCTCCCCCGTCCCCTCACACAGCCCTCCACCAGCCACTCCACAGCACATCCAGAACACTTTAAACACTGTTCCCGTTGCACTCCTGTAATACCAGCACCAGGGAGGCTGAGGCAGGAGGATCACTGTGAGGTGGAGGTCAGCCTGGGCTACAAAGTGAGTTCAAGGCCAGCCTGAACTGCATAGTGAGACCCTGTCTCCAAAAACAAAACAACCATTCCTGCTAAGCAGATTGCTTCCTCTGGCTTATAACAAGATTGCCATGCCCGGGCTCCTCTGAGGTAGAAATTCTAGGGCCTGGTGCCAACACTGATTCTTCTATGGGCGGCTGCATTTCAGGGTCAGGCGGCAGAAAACCTCCAGCCTCAAGCTGTGTCTCCGAAAATACCTCACAGGTCACATGTTATGGGTTGCGGTGGGAAAGGTGAGAGAAAGGGAGAGAGAGGCAGAGACACAGAGAGAGGCGGAGAGGAAGAGTTAGGTCAGGCAACACAGAAAGTGGATGGAGCCAAAGCGCGCGGTCAGGGTGCGCGGTCAGGGTGTGGGCCCTAGCTCTGCCCTCGGTCACCTGTGTGCTGATCACTTCCCTCTCTGGGCTCTTGTTTCCTTCAACGTTATTTGGGATGTTTGACCAGAGAAAGGCTTTTTAGACCCTTTTTCACAGTTGGGTCCTCTTCACCGATTTTGTTTAAACCTCTCCCAACTGTCTATTTAAAATTCTGTAGCCATGCTGAGCATGGTGGCTCATGCCTGTAAACCCAGCATTCGGGAGGCTGAGGCAGGAGAATTGCTGATAGTTGGAGACTAGCCTGGGCTACAAAGTGAGCTCAAGTTCAGCCTGTCTCAAAAAAGCAAAAAAAAAAAAAAAAAAAAAAAGATAAAATTCTGTAGCCAGAGTAATACATTTATAAGGCAGCTCTTCCCCCAGCCCATGCCTGTAGTCCCAGAATCCTGGAAGGTGGAGGCAGGAAGACTGCAAGCTGAAGCCCAGGCTGGGCAAATTAGCAAATCGGGTGAGACCCTGTCTCAAAAGAAAAAACGGTCTGGGGATGTAGCTCAGTGTGAAAACCATGAGTTCAGTCTCCAGTTCTGCCAAAGGAAAAAAGTCTCTTCCATATTAAGACCAGGAAAGTTTAAAACAATGTTACAGCTGAAAATGTTATGCCGAGATGAAAGAAGCCAAGCACAAAAGAGCTGAAATATTCAGAACAGGGAAATCTGAAGGGGCAGGAAGTAGATTAGGGGTTGCCTAGGTCTGTCGGGACTGGGGGGAAATGGGGGTGACTGCAAAACTGTGCACTTTAAATTTGTGAATTGTATGATGTATGAATTGATAAAGCTATTACTTTGTGGTCTTTTGCTTTTTTTTTTTTTTTTTTTTTTTTTTTTAGACTTTGTGTCACTAGGAGGTGTCGGACGTTCAGACGTGTGCTCTTGAGCTCACTTTGTAGCCCAGGCTGGTCTCGAACTCGCAATGATCCTCCTGCCTCAGCCTCCCGAGTGCTGGGATTACAGGCGTGTGCCACCATGCCTGGCTAAAGCTATTACTTTGAAAAATAAGGTTATAATTCTAATTTTTTTTTTTTTTTTTTGAGATAGGGCTTCCTATGTAGTTCAGGCTGCCTTGAACTCACTATGGAGCCCACACTGGCCTCAAACTTGTGGCAGTCCTCCTGCCTCGGCCTCCCCAGTGTGGGATTACAAGTGTGCATTACAATATCTGGTCTTTGATCTTTTTTAAAAAATGGCTTTTGTTCTTGAGGAAATGTTCAAACACTTAAAAAGATATAGGGGCTGGAAGTATATAGTTCAACAGTAGAGCATTTGCCTAGCATGTGTGAGTCCTGGGTCCAATCTCCAGTATCACAATAAAATAAATAAAATGAAAAGGTAGAAAGAATAATACAAGGAGCCCCTATGTACCCATCACCCACCTCCAACAATTATCAGCACAACCTTGATTCCTCGGCATCCCCACCCACTTCACCCCCCTACAGCTCCTGTACAAGATGATTTTGAAGCAAACTTTAGATATTGTACCCTTTTATGCATAGACATTTTGGTATTCATCTCTGAAAGAAAAGGGCTCCATTAACATAACCACAACACCATCACCACAAGTAAAAATGAAAGGCCTAACTCTTTGATATTGCCAAATTCCGTCAGTGTTACAATTTCCCCAATTGTGTCATACACTGATTTATTCAAATCAGAATCTAAACCAGGTCCACACATTGACTTTAGGGATCTGTTTTATAGATTTTTACTTTTTTTCCTTAAGAAAGCAGGTTCTTTGTTCTACAGTATCTTCCATGATCTGGATTTTGCTGATTGTATCTCCCATGATGTTGTTTACTAAATCTCTGGCACAATCCCTAAACACAAAAAAGACGAAAAACAAAACAAAATAAAACCTCTCTGGTTGAATCAGAATGGGGCTCACGTAGTGGGCCTCATCCAACCTCTGCTCCCCTCCGTGGGTCCCTCCAAGGAAAAAACGCCAGGGAACACAGTTTGAAAACTAGAGTCTAGACAACATCCTCTACCTTCGGGGTGTGTGTGTGTGTGTGTGTGTGTGTGTTGCCACATGCTCAAAGCTCAGAGAGCTTCCCTGTCGTTTTTTTGGTTTTGATTACTCTGATAAGTTTGCTATCTGGGTCAGTCACATAATGCACAAAGATATTCAGAGTGGTAGCGGATTAAAGTTCACTCTGACTCTTACCAGAGAGTACAGAAGCGCAGTACTTGCTCTGCCCTGGGGACTTTTCCGTCTTTGTTTTCGGGCTGTTTTTTTTTTTTCTTTGTACTGGGTATTGAACTCAGGACCTTGTACTTGCCAGGTGCTGTGCCCCTGAGCTATATCCCCAGCCCCTCCCTAGGGACTCTTGCAGAGAGTTTCCAAGTGCTAGGTATGCTGGTACACTCCTTAATCCCAGGACCCCAGGAGGCTGAGGCAGGAGGATCACAAGTT